TCCGTGGGCAGCACTGACCCTTGCACTGACCGGGTTTCGGCTTTGCACCCACCCCGGCACCACCAGCGGGTGCGTTCCCAAGGGAAGTCGGGCTCCCCTGCCAGCCTGGCGGGAGGGACAGATCTGGGGAGGACGGCGCACGCCAGCGATGCAGCGTGGTGAGATGCTGCGTCTCCGGAGCCCTGCTTCCCTGGCCAGGGCTGGGGAGGCTGCGGGACAAGCGAAAACCTGGCATTTTTGGGTAGCCCAAGAGCAGCTGATTTCCCTCGGTGACAGAGCAATAGGACTTCAGCGGATCCATCTGCTCTCCAGTTACTTTCCGCTTGCCGTCCATGCCCCGTTGCTCTGCGCTCCGGCACCACGCGGCGAGGCGAGAGGTGCCTCCATCCCGCCGTCTCCTCCCCTTCTCATCTCTGTGCATCAACTCAGCAACACCATGAGAAGCCTCTCTTTACAGAGGCCAAAACCAAATCACAACGTGAGAAATACTCAGTCTGAAAACTAAAAAAAAAAAAAAAAAAAAAAAAAACTTTTTAAAAAAAAAAATCTTATACTAAACACAATCAATTGCCAAACTGACAACTATCGCCCTGGCTGGCACCAGCTCCAAAGCTGCCTGTACCCCACCCCAGCAGTGCAAAATGGCACTTGTGTTCAGGGGATCCCGCGGTGCCACGGCACTCCGACACAGCGCAGCACATTTCGCAAATCCTGTGCTTAAGGGATGGAGAAGTTATTCTTTTCTAAAGGAATGATGGATTCTCGACTCACATAAAGAAGCAGACGAATGCTTATTAAAAGGTTGCACTTATTAATCTGAGGGTTAGTAGTTTTGTCTGATTAAAATTAAAACAAGTCATTTATCTTTAATTGTTTTAGCGTAATGTTCTGTTTAATGTTCTATTTCATATCAATATTTTTAAAGCGAGGCAAGAGACTAAATGCTTTGCAGGAGAAAGGACATCAAAGGGTGACATTTGTGTGTACAAGAAGTTGTTTTCAGTATCTTATTTTCATTCTTGCTTTTGGCAAAATAAATAAAAAGTCAGGCCAAAACCCAGTCACTTTTGACTCCACTGAAGCTGAGGAACTGGTTTCAAGTTGAGTCCTGCTGACCTTGCCCGAAAATTTTTCATTTAAGATAATGGGAGATTTGTGGGCATGAAGCAGCGGAGTCACAGCTCCCTGCGTCCTTTCACTCGCTCCAAGCATCGAGAAGAAGCAGTTTTATTTTTAAACAAGCTGGGCCATAGAAACGTCCTTCTGAATTTCTGAACCCTAAGCACATGACGGGCTGCTGCCAGCAAGCGCGATGCTCCGTGCGTTTTTGATGTCGTGCTCAGTGAACAACAGCCTGCGCTCGCTTTAATCCTCCGCGGCTCATGGTAATAGCTGGGATTGTTCTGTTTGCTATTTGTTTATTTGCACCTCTCAGAGCCGCAAGGAAAAATTATCCTCCACTTTCTAAATATTTATTGCTATTCCAAATTAATTTTACTGTCATGCAACAGCTGTAGATCATGGGCCAAATTTGAGCTGCGGGGGCCTGGGGAAGCCGGGGCAGAACCTGGCCCAGCTTCTTGTACCGCTTTTAAAAGCAATTTCCCTTTGCAAACAGAGCTGAAATCAACTGATCCCTTTTTTCCCACTCCCCTCCACAAAACAGAACAATCTACTCACAAAAAGAAATGAACAGTTCAGTTTTCAAGGACTTTCAAACTAGGACTCCGGGATACAACAGAAACAAGAGCAGGGGCTGCAGAGCTCCACCATCCCTTCTGGAGAGACGGGCACTCGAGCTGAGCCTTTGCCTTGTTACATGGCACCACAGGTTATAAACAGGAGACAAACACGACTGCGGTCTGACTGGATCGTTTGTTACACATTAACAAAAAAATAGAAAAAAAAAATTAAAAACCCAGTCCTCCCATCAGGGCATAAAACAGAAGATATGAAAACCAAAAATGAACGTCAGTTTAGTTATAAATGTGCTCGCTAGGTGTGTTAAATTAATGGCCAAATCGCCAACGTTTTTTCACCCCAAATGAGCTGCAATTCTCTTGTAAAACAAGAAACTTTCTCTTTACAAAGGCTAGATTCTCCTCTAAAACTGTCTCCTAAGAAGGAACTATATTTCTACAAGGTATTTCTCATCTACCCTCTATTCTAAGGAAGGAGGAAAAGGAGATTATGTAGACAGCACAAATTAACTCCTTAAGTATTAATGCATCTCCATTTTCAGCCTGAAGGAGTACATATCTTAAGGAGCTACGAGAAAAGAAAACAAAATATAACTCAACAGTCCTAGCAATTTATAATGCATATACAATTGTTCACCTGCGTCCTTTTGATTCTCTATATGAAAGAGAGAAAGCAACAAGGAGAGAAAAGAGAGAAACAAGAACAGATATGCAGGATTAATGAGCAAGTGGACCGCACAGCCCCCCAGTTATGCGTGATATATGACATTTGAAAAGAAGAAAAGTCGCCCCGTCTCGCCCCCCGCCCCCCCAAGCATGGGGTTACCAAAAGAAGCTCCTTTCAGGGAGGTGAGAGAAAACGCTGCACAAATAGAAAACCAGAGAGGGCGAGCTCTGAGGACACAGAGGGGATCTCCAAGTGACAGCGGGGCTGGGGTGTCCCCTCCAGAGCTTGGTGCCAAGGAGCGAGTAAAAAAATCGAGGAGGAGAGCAAGTAAAGCGCATCCTTCCGCTCGAGAGCTAACAGACAGGAGACGTGTAAGGTCTGGCGTACAGAGAAAGCACAGCCTCATTCCATCTCATTTACGCAGCACTGGGTAAAGATCCGATACGCAGGCAAAGGGATGGCTTTTTCCAGTGTCCTTTATCTGACCTCTAGCTCACTTCTCCCCGATGTAGCTGCTACCTTTTGATTGTGTACCAGTGACAAGCACTTTACAAATTGGGGTTACACAGAAGCAAAGTAAAAATGCATTCAGGTCACGGACATAAAGAAGAACTGAAAAAACTTACAGACGATCTGAGTTTACCACAAACAGATGGGTTAATTGTCTAACCTGGTTTAGGCTGATAAAAAGTGACTGGACTTCTCACACTGGGTTTCACAGACAGAAGCAACAGACAAGCCAATGCTAAAAGACTTGAAGCAAGGAGAGTGAGTTGGTTTGGATCTGGACTTTCTTGAGGTAATGAAAACAGAAAGAGTGAGGACAGCATGGAGAGGAGGGTGGTAGGTACTCACGAATGGTTAAATCCATCACTTGAGAGGCCAAGCAGAAGACAGGATGCTCATACATTTCTCTCTTTTTCCCTATAAAAGAGGATTTGGGCATGCAAGAGGCTTAGGTCAGAGGTAAAGAGGTTATAGGCTATAGGTCAGAGGAAAACTTTTTATCAGGTTAAAAGGAAAGTAGCCGTAGAGTATTTTGGGATACACACAGGATAAAAGGAAGAAAACAGAAAAAAAAAAAAAAAAAAGAAAAAAAAGGAGGGTTAAAATCGGAGATCTACTGGATTAACCATTCAGCATGCCCATGAGTCACAAGAGAGGCTGTGACCATGACTCTAGAGGTTTGCTCGAACTGTTTGCAAGAATATAATGATCAAAACATCATGAATAGAGGGAAATAGAATTTCACTGGTTTAAGGCCCCGAGATACTAAGGATTTCAGCCTTCAGTATCTAAGGCTTTCACAGGTATTTCTTCATAAGCATAGCCTCAACCGCTGCCACTGATGTGTTCTGCGTCTCTGACAAAACTCTCTGAAACGCGTGGCTATTCAAATGTCAGCTTTCAAAAGCAAGATTTCAAAGCCATGTACGGCACGCAGGAACGCATGTCACCGAAGCAAATTTGTTATTTGCTCTTCTAAGGAAGTATTTGAACGTGTAGTGGACTATGCTCATGAGAGAAAACCTGATGCATGCAGCTGGCGGATGTTGGGTTGTTCAAGTTAACAATCCCAGCATGCTTGGAAATTGGTGTTACAACCACTTTTATAGAGATAGTATCAAAAAGTGGCTGTGGCCAATCACGGATAAAGGAGGAGAAAAGCAGAAGAGAGCAGGTAGTGTGGAATGAACTATTTCTCTGAAAAGGTAGCTGGAAAAAAATAGGTTTGTTGCTTCAAAGTATTCCCAGACCTAAAAGTCTCAGTGCGAAAAAGAGGGCAGATAATTAACACAACCGAGAAGAATTGAGGCACAAAAGGAAAAGTACACACTAACTGTTCTACTTTGGAAATGAATGCATTTTTACTTACAGATCATAAAGTTTGTTTTTGCATAGATTTATCTGAAAGAAGAGAGCAAATCTTACCAACGAGTTAGTGATATTTACACAGAGAACCTAAGGGAACCAGCCCTGGGTAGAAGCATCCATCAACAGAAAAGCTGCTTTTGATTCTCAGTCCTTCTCCATCCTCGTCAAGTATATTTAAACATTGCATTTTACAGAATACACCAATTAAAATATCCTGTGAAGTTGAGTACTTCGATAAATTGCCTGATAATACAGTGCTTATGAAACCTTCGTTCCTTCTCTATTTTTGTCACTCATTACCAAGTCAAGAGTTGATAAACATCCTTTTAGTGCCCAATTCTTAAGTGTTTCTCACTGGATGCATAACAATGAATTCATTACCACTGGTACACAATTTGCATCGTTAGACAGAAAAAAAATGGAAAAAGAGAGGACATGTCATGTACAGAACCTGGACAATTTGTCATATAATAACCCAATTTTTCATGTAAACAAGAACTAAGAACAAATCAGAAGGAGTTTTGGGGTTTTTTTTTCCTCCTCTCAATATTGTCCTAGAGGCATACAACGATAATCTCAGCTGTGGGAAAGCTTCACATCACACCATGACAGAAACCCAAAGTCTAGAGCAGAACATACCATTCATTTGGAACATACAGGTTTAAGCAATTGGGAACTCAGATAAAGTTGCGTAGGCGTTTCAAGTTGGGAATAGCGGCCAACAAGGTACCAACGTAAACTGATTAACATGTAAAGAACGACTGGATCGTAGAGCTTCAGCTAACACGTATCCTCCAGCAAGGTTTAAAATGTCTTTTTGATGGCTACATGTGTCTCTGGTCACTGGTTATTATTCTCCCATAACTTAAAAGGTCAATAATATCAGCTACGCCAGATTTAGAGTGACAAGAAAGAAATCTGATGCAAGTATGGGATCACTGATCAATGACTGCTATGCAAACTGCAGACAATGAAACACTCCCAGAAAAAAGACATTTTAAATTGGCTACAAATGATTAACCATAGATTAAACAGTTTTTCAGCTGCTTATTTTTCATTTGTTTCCTGAACTCCACTGTCACAAGCAATTAGCTGCACTATACCTTCAGCTGCAAAGATGACATCCCAAGTATTTCTCAAATTGTTTTTTAAAACCACGACATGAGTCTGAATACTACACCACTGGCCAAATGCACTAATGATCAAAAAAAGAAAAAAAAGCTACAGTTCCTTTTAACTGTTTCCTCTCTTTTCCAGAAAAAGACATGTTTTGCATAGCTTCCATTCCTAACTGCTTCCGAAGCCAACACCACAAAAATGATTCAAAATCACATCAGTTTTATTGGTAAGTGAATAAATAGCAAATGAGCTTCTTTTAAATAGCTCCCAGCCACAGTTGCCACCTAGAAACATAACAAAATTGTAATTTCATAAAGAAAGAGCCTTACCTTCAATTTTGGCATACTCTGATAGCCGAGTATAATTGACTAGAGCTGCTTGCTCCAAGCATTTACGGATGACTGTTTTTACCTCCTCTTGAGGGACTGGAGTAACTATGTCTTTCATCAGAACCTTGACACAAGAAAATCTGATTTGTTGTGGCATCAGGCATACAGAACTGCTTTTCTCCAAGCCCAGCACATACAACCATTCCTACACTAGCGTTACGTGGCTCCTGGGGTGTGTGTGCAATATGCAGGACCCACAAGGTCACCTTGGCCAGCTTGAGACGCGGGACCTACCCCTGCTGTATTATTCCCCTTCTGTGTCTACACCCAGTGGCATACCCTGAAATCTGTGCTTCTGATTTTTTAGGGCATGACATTAAGATCTATCACAACTTGCCCAGTGCCAGGCAATGTCACGCCCTTCCCAGGCTCTGCTGATTGACCTGGGTTTACATCTGGGCTTGGCCGCGCTGCGGGTTAGCAGAGGTGAGAAGGATGTCGGAGCGGCAAGAAGGCTGAAGTAGGGATGGGGAGGATGATGATGAGCAGGTTTCATACGTCCGGGAGGAACAAGTCTGCCTTGAGATGGGGATTTCACCGGGCAGCAGCCAGGCATCACTTACAAGGGTCTGCGGCATAGGTGCTTGCCAGCGAGATCCTCCACCCTTCACCACCAACACAGGCGCAGGCTGCGCTGCCTTTAGGGCCAGGCTACACACCCGCCTCCGGGCTGAAGCAGGAGAGATAACAACCCCGCCGAAACCCCCACATTTCAACTTTAGCTATCATTAATTACATGTCCTGTGCAAAACCAACAGTTCCTCAAGCTCTTCTAGATGGAAAGATACATGAATACAGGTAATTTTAACTAGTCTCTGTTATTCGTATGCTTACCCTTTCCAGCAGCGATAGAGTAGCTTTTAGTGCACCTTCTGGACGGCCAAATGGAAAGCAGTACCTAGAAAAACCACATCACGTTAACGTCAGACCAGCTGCATGTGAACAGGCCTTTCCGAAGCTACAAACATCTTTCCTAAATACGGCCAAGCAAACCCTCTAGTCCCTCTGCCCGGAATGAGCAATCTTTCTGTGCGTAACTTTCCGAAAGGGTTTGATTGCGTGGCCACTAAGACAGCAAAACAGAACACGGGGTAGTAATAAGCTGATGGTTTTAGCAGCTTATTAAATCTGGGTGTCACCTGGAGAGTTTTTAGATCTCCTAGGAGAGAGTTAAATACCATCTTCTTGTAAAAAATTGGGGAAAAAAAAAAAAGCAGCCCCTTTAGAAAGGATGTTTACTTCCAGCTGGAGACCTGGCGATGCACCAGGCTGTGGGTAACCGGCTGAA